GATAGATGACTGGGCCAAACAGAACAACAGAGTAACTTCCCAAAACAACAGTTTTACTCTCAATGGTTTCAACACTGTTTTTACTCGAATTTCTGTGCGATTACACTGTATGCTTTTGTAAATGTAAGACTGTAATAATAATTATCATCAAGCTTGGCTAAATACAGATTATTTCACCGTTCATGAAATAAAATTAATGTTTATTTGCTTTGTTTTTGTGAGGAATAAAAAGGTTAAGTAACTGAAGAATTAGCATGTGGTATTTGACACAAATAATTACATTATCTAAAGCAAATCTCAGAATCATTAGAGACAGAATTATTTCCCCCTATTAAAAAAAACTGTAACATAAAATGGTGTCATTTGGACAGTTTTTCCAGCAAGGCAGGCGAGTAGATTTTATTGCCGTGTAAACGGCATGTGACAGATTTAACATTTCAACCGTGTTACCAAAGTAATGTTTTAGAAATTATATGTTTCTACGTATTAATGTTGTTAGAAAATATAAAAATGACATTTCAAGGTTTTAAAATGTATCCAGACCAATTATGTGCTAAATCGGTTAAAACAAATACAAAATTATATAAAAATGAGACTAGTGGAAGCCTGTTTCCTATTTTCCTCAGAGTAAAAAGCAATTGGGAATAGTGTTTTAAATTTCAAATTAAGTCACATTGAGAAGTAAAGTCCAACTGTGAGATTGTGATTCAGTTAAAATAACAAGAAATACAGTTTTACATTTTTAGAGTCTCAAACACTATTTTGAAGTTTAAGATCTATTCAGACCAAGAACAATAACTGTGTTAGTGTTGACACCAATGCACAGTAATGTTACGCTCATTAAAAGCACATGCTGCAGTTTTGTCATCTGCTGCTTTAAAAATGCGCAAGCTCTTAAAAGCAGGATGGTCAAAGTTTTTATTATCCATCAGCTGGAAATAAATAATGCCTCTGTATCGTTATAGCTGTAATGCGGACCTCGCTGTTCTCATAGAATTAATACTTTATTGTTATAGTTTCTGTCCTTGGTGTGAACAGGCCATTATTCATAGAACAATTTCAGGATCAGTGTAGCATTCTGGCACAGAGAAACAAAGTGGACAAACACGGAGAAGGAAATCTGAGCCTGAATCAACACTCCCCAACAGAAATGCTTTGTAAATAAAAGCGCTGGTGTCTGTAGTGAAACTGAAGCCGCGGTCAGCAGGTCTGCATACCACATGTTCTGCATTCCTGCTATTTTAACACCAAGCATCCCTGGACGACAAAGAGATAATGGGATGGCCCGACTCTCCTCAGCCTAGGCAGTGGTTTATACTGCAGGGATCAAATCGGTTCAAAAGAATTCGAAAGGACAGGAAAACTTCTCTTGGAGCTGGAAAGGAGGCCAAAGGTGTCACAATAATTACACACTTCATCTTCATGAACGCCTGCTTTGTAAAACTCCACCAAACGCAGGTGGAGTCACATAATGAAAACAATTATCTACAAAGCAATTCCTAGAAAGAACTATTAAACTTGTCTGTCACTACAAAGTCGAGTCAAGTGAGATGAACACACAAGACCAAGCATGATCACGTGACCCATGTTAAATAGCTTGAGAACTATAAATTAGAGTTTGACCGATATATATATATATATATATATATATATATATAAAAATATATAAAACGATATATATCATTTGTCGATTTTATCGGCCGATATGAGCCTGTCGCAGATATATCATATCGGCGAATATGCCGCCGATATGCCACCAATATGAAAACATTTTTACAGAACATAAAACGGCCATAAAACTAACAAATAATATGCACGTGACATCATCGTTTTCACAAATTTGCATTTTTATGAGATACATGAGCAATATCACTAGAGTACTCGAGCGATACCGGCTCTATATCAGCATGTCTGTGATTAGGCCAGAGGCACGAGGCCGCAGGCAATCACAGCCGTTGATATAGAGCCAGTATCGCTCGAGTACGAGAGTGATATTGCGTTTATACAACAGTTCGACGGAACGTGTGTAATTAAACAAGAAACAACGAAGTGCCTAATAGTGCTGTGTTCAAAATATCGATACGACGATGTATCGTCACAGAGATTTAACAATACGAGTATTGATACAGCTGGCCCTGTATCGATATTGTGGCACGTGTGCAGCAGTGGACCGCGCTTAATTTGTTTACAATTTTACAACATTTAAAATTGAGTAGAAAAGTGCGAGGTTTCTAAAAAAGAATGAACAGAGCATATATAGACTACAACAAGGTTTAATCTGGCCGCAGAGGAACACAACTGGGTTGCCTGATATAAAGAGACTTAATCCCTGAAACAATACAGAAATATCTGCTAAGTGTGCTACTTATCTTTATCAACCTGGCAACCATATGCTCTCTCTCCACTGTGGATAAACGTGCTTGCTTTCTGAAAACAGAGGTTTTAGTTTTAGCTTGCAGTTTAGCGATCTCCACTTCAATATTCTATTCTCAGAAAAGTGTAATTCATCAACTGTTCATTTACGACACACACAGAGAGAGAGAGAGAGAGAGAGAGAGAGAGAGAGAGAGAGAGAGGGACTGTGTATGTATGAATTACAAAGAGAGAGAGAGAGAGAGAGAGAGAGAGAGAGAGGCTGTGTATGTATGAATTACCACCGTAATTCATGGCTGGTTCACTTACGCCGGTGCTCTCGCTGGGGCTGGTGTTGTTTGGATGCCGATTTTGGAATGTTTTTGCTGGGATGGGCATTTTAAAAAAAATCTGAAATTCGCTTTTGTGCCATTATCGCCGTGTATTAAAGTTAATCTTGTTTGCATTCTGTATAGTTCATGTCTGATACCACGAGCTAACGTCACGTGTTCATGAGGATTAGGCTAATCATCCCATTTAGAAAACATCAGAAGTAAAATGAATCATGTTTATAAAGATAAACATGGGTTTATTATAGCCCATTTACAATTTACATTTCAGAGACCATTCCAAATAAATTATTAAATGCTAAAACTGAATAAATTTAAATGAACAAACTTGGCGTTGCATTTGCAACCATGTGAAAACAGCCCCCTCAGCACCCCTACTTCCCGCGTCCCTGTTCTAGGCGAAAGCAAAAGCACTTTATTTGGCCTTCCAAAAGTAGATGCATTTAGGAATCTTTAAGATTACTTACAACAGAACAGCAATGCATTTTATGGACGACCGTTTCATGAACCTAGGAGAGGAGGTAATTCTGACTTTGCTATGACAATCTGGCGCTTCTGAATCAGCTACTGTTTTGTTATTAGTTTAAGTATTTGCTATTGACTGTTCAAATGCGGAGTTTTGCACATTGTGTGTGTGTGTGTGTGTGTGTGAGTCGCCGTGTATTAAAGTTAATCTTGTTTGCATTCTGTATAGTTCATGTCTGATACCACGAGCTAACGTCACGTGTTCATGAGGATTAGGCTAATCATCCCATTTAGAAAACATCAGAAGTAAAATGAATCATGTTTATAAAGATAAACATGGGTTTATTATAGCCCATTTACAATTTACATTTCAGAGACCATTCCAAATAAATTATTAAATGCTAAAACTGAATAAATTTAAATGAACACCAGCTTCATCACTGTGTCTGTCACGTGACTCTGTTCCCCTTTCGGGCTCTGTCTTTACATTTATTTTGAAAGATGAAGCTCGCGATTATGGTAAGGGGTGTTACATTTCCAACGAGTGCTTGCGGTGTTCGGCCAATCACAATGCACTGGGTCAGCTGGCCAATCAGAGCAGACTGCGCTTGTCGGAAGAAGGGACTTTGTAGAAAACGAAGCGTTTGAGAGAGGCGGGGCATAGAGGACCTACAATCATGTACAGTATTTGAAAAAGAATGTGTTTTTTGAACATTAAAGCATGTCAACATATTCTGTTACACCAAATACACAAAATAATGATCTTTAAAAAAGCATCATATGACCCCTTTAAGGCTGTTTAAGCATGTTGCTCTGTACTCGCAAATGTGTTCTAAAAAAAGTGAATTAATCTGCTTTATCATCTTTTGAAGTGTCATTCATGTCTGTAACACAAACAGTGCTGGACAAGAAACAACAGATAATTTTTTCATATTCAAATCTGCATCCTTAATCTGCATGTAAACCTAAAAAAAAGGATGTTATCCACTTCCCAGTGGCTTACCACAGAGGGACTATCTGTAGCTGTATCCGTCTTCAATCATTCACATTACAAATAATGGGCTTACTGTACGCCACTAACTTTTAAGTCTATGAACATCACATCAACACAGGAACATCATATGGTCAAATCAGTCAATCACATGCTTACCTTCTAATATGACAAGTCAACACTGCCAGATTCAGCAGCATGTTAGCTGTCAAGCTGAATGTGTTGCTACTGGCAGATGAAATATTAAAGGGGTCATATGATGCTTTTTTAAACATCATTATTTGGTGTAACAGAATATGTTGACATGCTTTAATGTTCAAAAAACACATTTTGTAACACTCCAAAGAGAAAGGAAAACTTGAAATCGCATCATATGACCCCTTTAATTATAATAGCGGAGGATCGGTTTCTGCACATGGCACCCTCTACAGTGGCACTAGTCCAACATTTATAGTGCATAAAAGCCGATTAACATAAAACACCACACAAGGACCTAAAGTGTGTGTCTGAAATACTTTTTTGGTGTTAGACAACAAACCTTGGTTGTCTCAGAGCTACGAGTCACTTAAAATGTGTGTAAAGGTAAACACACACACCCACTCTCTCTCTCACACACGCATTTATATATAGACTCACACACACGTACACAGACTCACATTCCCTCGTTCATATGGACTCACATATACACACATTTATAAATACACACAGCTAGCGCGTGTCTTGTCGTGCTAAGCGACGTTAGCAATTCTTCATATTTATGCACAGCTAAACGTCTCCGTAAAGACAAACGCAAATCTAAATGAATGAAGAAAGGATGTGCTATTATAAAAACACGTTCTTACCTTTGGAATAGAGCGATTTGGGAGAACTGGGGTCGATGTCGGCGCTCAGGAGAGATATGAAATCAGAGGGCATGCTAGCATGCTAAAGCCTCATGAGATCAGAGGAAACGACTCTTATCACGCTCCGCTTCAAGAGCAATGCATACAGAAAGAGAGATGGTTTCAATCATAAAATCCTTGTGAAGGGTTTACAGCACATGTACTGTAGTAATATTCACACTCGGGAACGTTTTAATATGTTTTTTCCCATCTGATTAGCTAGCCAGCCATAAGAGCCATTCACCTTTTTTCAGCGACTCCTCCCCCCTTTCTGCGCATGCGCACGATTTCTGTATCTGACATTATTATTGTTCAACTATAACTACGTAATTAGTGTTAGATTTGTTCTATCATATTACTTACAGTTTAGTCACCACCGTTTAGTTATAGTAAAAGGATAAAATTGTGTGTATGCTTTAAATTATTCAAGTTCCTATGTTAAACGCACTTTGTTAATGCACATGTTCAATAAGTCATTGAATCTATCAAATGTATAACGCATTTCGGAATTGAACTAAACTGAATAGTGCACTCGCACTCTGTCGAAACGCAAGTTTTCTTTTGATTTTCTCAGAAAAAAAAGCGCCCACAACGAAAAAAGTGGGGGTAAAAATCTGACAAAGCGCCCACGGTTAGAGAGAAAGTCGTGGGAGTTCTTTCAGAAAACTTGAAAGCAGCACTGCGACACTTGAATAACGAGCTGCTCTGGGAATAGTGTTATTTTAATGCTGAAGACAAGGAATATGGGAGAGTATATGAGAGTGTCTATCAAAAACAGGCAAAGATCCAATTTAAAATGTTCCCTTTTTCCTAGCAGTGTTGATTTTAGGCTAAACACCTGTTTTTAAATTACACTGCAAAAAATGACCGTGAATTTAACGGTATAAGACTGTAAAAATGCTACAGTAAAAACCTGTTTAATGGTTAATGGTAAATTCCCCTACTATATACGGTTTAAAAACTGTATTGGACATTGCATGTATTGGACATTAGTTTTATGGTAGTATACCATTTTTGGAAGTGGAAAAGACCATAACCGTAAATTGACATTCGCAGAATTCTATGCGTTACATTTCAAATTTGATGTTTTTTTGTTGAAATAACTGATTCTTCTTAGTTTTTTTCTTATCAGTTTTGTATATTAGGGTTGTGTGTTACACCTAATGTTGTTAAATTAATGTTTACTGCATTATCTCAGTTTCATGTGCGTTACCATGATAGTGTTTGGTGTTTGTGTGAATGATACTGTGCACCTTCTATATATGTTTATTATTTAAAAACTGCTTGTGATGGGCTTTGGTTCATCATGTGACTTTCTCATCACCACCTGCATTTGATGGTTATCAGTGTATTACAAAGGTACAAAACAGATTTCAGCACTCCAATAGGTTGGTATATTAACATTATATCAGTTAATGAAATTATGGTATTTTACTGTAAATTTAGGTTAAAACGTAAAACCTAAAATGTTGCTACCGTATTTTTTACAGTAAAATTCTGGCAATTCTGTTGCCGTTTTTTTACCGTGAATATTTTTTACAGTGTAGGATCATTTTTATTAACAATTTTTAACCTATAAGTCCGCCAATATAAATGTAATCATCAAGGTATTTTTGCAATTGCTGCTGGCTATCAAGTGCACACAATAAAACCACACTGATGTTCTGACAAGATTCAACTATCCACCTTTTTCTACATACGCATGACTTTGCATGCATGAATTATGGGAGTAGAAGGGTGGAAAAAATCAGCAGATTCAACGTGATGAAAAGCAGTTTCAAAAACGGTACAATGAGGTGACATTATTCCCAGATAGCACACGTACATCTGCAAGATGTCTGTTAAAGATCTCTTCATCTGGAAAGCATCTGCTGTGTACAAACATCTGATAGACGTCTGTAAGATGTCAGTTGTCCATACATTCTAAATCATAAACATCTTAAAGACATCTTCTAAACGTCAATTTGACATCTGATAGGAAACGTCCTATAGACGTATTGCAGATGAGCAAACGCTCTAAAAAATACGTCTTGCAGATGTAATGCAGATGTCTCCGTGATGTACGTGTGCTGTCAGGGTTCTATATACCCTTCAACCATCAAACATTAAAAATAAATGTAAAAGTGTAAAAGCATTAACAAATTACTACAACAGACGATGAATAACCCAAAAAGCCCTATTATTTCTGCAGCAATATTACGGACGTGTTAAATATCACTGTAGAAATGAATGTTAGTGTAACATGCACTGCCTTCACCAAAAATGTTCATTAATTGGAACTTTGAGTTATAATATTTCAAAGTAATTTCTATTATTTTGACAGCCAAATATATTATTGTTATGTCACATTTAAATAGCAGGCATTATGTTATTCTGACGTCTGAAAATAGGACATGAAGAAAAATAGTTAATTCAGTCAAACTGAGAGATAAGGATTATTTGTAGGCCAACCTTATTATTTGAAATGATTTGTTTCAGTCTTTGTGAGTGGAATTTCCCAAAACCGGACGTGCCTCCCATAATCTCGTTAGGAAAAAGGTGGATACTGCAGATTTATTTTTGTGGCAGATTTACGAAGTTTATGATTTGCACCACCAATCAGAATTGCATTTTTTACATCTTAATCAGGTTAAATGCCAAATCAAATTGACAGTCTTTATAATGGCAGGCACTGTATAAACATCCTAGATAAATGTAATTTTCACAGCTCACAACTTCAGAGTTTTTGTCTACTGAAAGTCTTTTTCACACAGACTGATGTATCAGTATGTTGTAAAACAACAGTACAATCCATTGAACACAGTATTTATATCCCCCACAACCTCATTTTCATTCCTGTCAAAAAATAAAATATGGCACCACTCTGACTAAGGGCTATAGCAGGGATCTCAAACCCTTCTCCTGGAGAGCTACCGTCCTGCAGACTTTAGTTCCAGTCCTGCTCCAGCACACCTGTCTATAATTATCAAGTAACCTTGAACACTTTAAATAGCTGGTCCAGGTGTGTATGAGCTGAACTCTGCAGGACGATAGCTCTCCAGGAGCAGGGCTGGAGATCCTTGGAATAGCATTGCTTTTGGCTTAACCAATAGCATTGATGCCACTAAAATGAACAATCAACCGGGCATTTGATATTGTTTGAATTCCTCTGTTGATGATACAAGATGATGATATCCAGAATCTTCTTACTGTTCTACACATATGCTGCATTCCATTTACCTTGGAAGTCAGATGTCGTAGTTGAGAATGAAGTCACAGCCAAGTGGACCAAGTTCCAGTAGAAAAATCATAAAACTGCAATGAACGCAGTTAAAAACACATAAAAATGGTATTTTGCACAGATAACACCATAGTATCATGTCCACAAATAGAGGATGGATAGTACTGTGTGCACCACTGAGTGTATTGAGACAGAGACAAGCATAAGCGCTAATAAACAATATATTACTACTATCTCTCTTCTGTTGATGAGCAGCCATATTGGATTCTGAAGTTGGAGTTGTTGCGATTCCTCCGAGATTCCGAGTTGAAATTCTGACTTGGGATGGCATTCCAGCTAAAAGTTCTTACTGGCAACTCGGAATTTCCAACTTCCAAGAACAAATGGAACGCAGCAATACAACAACATGGTGAGAACATTTTCACAGTCATAGAACCTAATTTCAAGTCAACATGAAAACAGAATTTTACTACAATTTGTATTAAAATATTATGTGATAACAGCAAAACATTTTGGGAAAAAATGGAAGGAAAGCATCTCAAGCAAAACATTTTTTAAACACAAAAGAAGTATTGCAAACATAAATACTTTACTTTTGGTTTTGCTCTGATATAAAGACCTTTATTCACAATCGATTTCTGATGGACATAATCAAGTTCTGCCCTACATTTTTTTCTTATTGAATATCTTATCTTACTAGAAAATATGTCAAACTACACTCTAACCCAACCTTCTGGGTAGTAACCCAACCGCTGGGTCAAAACAACCCAATTGCTGGGTTTGTCCCTATTTTACCCAGCACTGGGTTGTATTTAACCCAGCATTTTTTAGAGTGCATGGAAGTAAATTAGCTTGTAAATGCTGTTTCATGTTGTCTTTAAAATAATTTAATGGACCTGAGTGGGCAGAATTTTTACTGGTGGTATGAGGGATTTCACAGCACACATCGTAAATTAGAGCCCTGTGTGAAGCTTTCACATTGTGTTCTGTACAGTGAGTCTTTGGCCAACAAAGAATTACAGCCTAACCAATGGTTTTTGATTGAAGCATAGCGAAACAAATCTGAAATCCAGGATGTTCAGAGAGCTATGACATGGCATGAAGGCAGACCACGAGCCTCTAAATGCACTTTGTAAGATAACACAAGCTTTTTGTAACTCTTACTCAAAGCTGAAGTGTGTAATTGAGTTGATATTAAAATACCTTATCCTATTCCTTCTTAATAGAAGGTGATGAGATTGCACAGGTTTGACTCTAAGGTTTGAGATTTTTTACTCACACATTTGGGAACAACAGGAAATCAGGGTTAACTATATGTAATGTACTTGGCTTTAATGGCAATATAGGCTATTAATGTGCCTTTTAAGGCAAATAGTGACAGTTCTGGATTGCTCATCAACATATGGAAGAGTTTCTCTGCTCAGCAGAGAAATCTGCTGACGTTAATCCAATTTGGCACCACATACCTGTGTGAATTGGCCTTGGCATACCATAAAAACAAGTACAGTAACAGACAGAGCCCAGAATAGATCTGTCTCAATCAACTAAACAAACATGAATTCCTCTTTAAAATGGATATCTTTAATTGTATTATAGCAACAGTAATTCCAACATTGACCTTCACATTCATCTGTATATACATGTATGCATGCGTGTGTTAATCTTCAACCATTTCATTGTAGTTAGCTATCCAACTTTGAAACATAAGCACAAAATCATATCTAAACCAGTAATGATAACACTTATAGATACACTAGGTAAATTTTTTATTATTATTATTATTATTTTTTATTGTATTGTTTCATACCGAAATGTGTTAAAGTGCAATTCACATCATAACATATTGCAAGTACACATTGCAATCTCAGCATTGCCACAAGAGGGCAATTAATGATGTAAATCTATAAGTCTTCTAAAGTCAGTTTTCTCTTTTAGGCCAACTACCATCATGACCGTTCACAGAGAATGTTGTCGAAGTCTGTCAGGACAAGGCAGGCCATTTGGCGGCCATCTTGGGAGTGCACTTAGAGAGCTATTTTCAATCCGGCCAACCAACAGCAGTTGCATGATGCTGTCATCAAACATCAAAAACTATCATAAAGACCAGTTGTGAATTTTTGGTCAGTTGGCTCTTTGGATGGCAGGACTCATGTTGGGCATTGCGATTTCTCCCATTCATCATAAAATCAATGGTTTAAATAGTAAACCCCTCCCCACAGCCAATTTCATTGGTCAACTCAATCACCTGTCAAGAGACGTTCAGACTTCACGTATTGAGTTCAGAATTTAGAATATCATGGATGGATCAGTTTGAGACAGACAGTAATGCTATCAGGATGCTCTGCCAATTCTCTACTGAGGTTAAGGTTAGGGTTTAGGTAATGAACAGGGGTTAGTATTTTTTTCAACGTTATGTAGGCAGTGAAAAATGCAATCTTTAGGAAAAAAACATGTGCCATGTGCAAGTGATTTGAGCATTTGAAAAGAAAGGTCTACTAGGTATGCACAAGGACGAGCAGAACAGAGAAAATGAAGTATACCTGGGCCTTTAGTTAAAGGGGTGGTTGACTGTTTTTTTTCTAGGCTTGATTGTGTTTATGGGGTGCAGTCTAACGTGTTAATGCTTCGTTTAAAAAAAAAAACATTATTTTTCACATAATTTACCTTTATTCCACACCGCTCTGAGAAACACGCTGATAATTTCCTGCTTTTATGAAGCCCCTCCCTCAGAAATAGGTGATGGGCTCTGATTGGTTAGCTAGCCCAGTGTGTTGTGATTGGCTAAACTGCCTCTAGAGCGCGTCTAAACATCCCGCCCCCCACCTCAGCAGCATATGCTCCAGTTGTATTGTAAACAACAGCTTCGTTAATATCGCTTATCAGTTTGAGCTCGATTGAGAAGCAGAGGATATTATTGAAGAGGATTGTGCAGAACCTGTGCAAGCACGGCTTTTAATGCTAGGCTATGTTTTTTGTTTGTTGTTGTCTCAAACTTTTAGATACGCTGTTATTTGTAAATGCTACTGCTTATGTTAGCTTTTAATATACAGTTTTATCCTGATTAAAGCTCTAATACAGTATGACAACTGCACGCACGCGCCATGTTTAACGCTTCTCATAGCTATGTGAAAATAAGTGTATAAATGGAACAGTTCATTGTTGGAGCTGAGCTGAATGAGATAGAGAGACAGAGAGAGAAAGAGAGAGAGAGATGCAGAGCGTGTGCAGAGCAGGGGGGCGCGATGAACAGTATTAAGAACCGCTGCTTTAGAACATTGATTTTGAAACTTGTGAATCCATTAGAATCGTTAGAAGACAGAATCGTGATTCATATATGAATAGATTTTTACGTGCACCTCTAGTTTTCTCTTCCTCTTCTCTAAAGCAGCGCAGCATGGCCTCGCCCCCTTTGCTGCCTTTTCCCGAGGGCGGGGTTTATCTGGGTTTGTTACGTCACGAACCCGGGAAGTAACTTGTTGTAGTCCCTACCAGCCGTTTTTGTAGGCATTAAACTGCCAGAATTTTAAAAGACGATATCTCCGTTTGCATTGAACTTTCAGTTTCGTAACTTTGCAGATATTGTTTATGATCAAACAGCAACATTACACACTAAACTAACATTAAAAAAGTGAAATCGCAATCAACCACCCCTTTAAAGTTGATTTTATAGTGTTAGTTACCTGAATAATAGTATTAGCCTCAGACGTCATGCCCACAGACCGCTGACTGAACGTGTAATGCGTAAGACACACAAAATGGGAAACACTTCAGGAGTTTCAAAGTAGACATCTGACAGGATTTCTGCGAGGAGTGTGTGTTGCATTCAAGTTGCATTCACGTCCTGAAAAGTGAAGCCAATACATTCTTGATCGCCATCTGGTGGTTGGCTGGGTCAAAAACTCTGCCTTCTCCATGTAAACGAATGGGAAGCTAAAAAAATCTAATACATTTAAAATGAAATTTTCCACAAGATGGTTTCCATCATTTTTGGAACTTCTTATCACACTGATGTATGTTAAAATGTCTATTTTTCTAATAAGTTTTTGTTAGTTATTTGATGCTGGGTGTAGCGTCATGTTTGTGTGCTCGTAATTGGGTCTGCGGGAGTTTGGGTGGGACTTTGATAGCGCGGCTCCAGCTCATGATCACTACTGCACAGACATTTGAAAGTAACTCTATTACCCCCTTGAGTACTGGAGTTGTAACTACAAGAACCACATGAAACACATGCTAGCAGCATCTGTACTCAGTCTATTTGTCTGGCCTTCATCTACTACAACTATTAGCTATATTGGCTGTCGAATCACTATAACCTTTCAAAATAATTTTTTTAAATGAACATTAGAATCATCCACACACAGATATGCCTCTATAAGCCTCTTTTTCCCTCACTTCATCTTATTGCCAAAACTGTGTTATATCACTAGACCTCTGCCTCCCATATGAATCCTTTTTATTGTCTATGGGCACCACCCTCCCTCCTGTTTTGGTGTGTCATGCAGTGTTGTATAGTGGCTGACTGCGTTTCTCTCTAGTGGGACTCTTTATGTGTCACTGTTGTGTGTGCTGCAGTGACAATGGGAGCTAATGTGTGACAGTGCATGTAGGGGTGGGGAAAAGAGAGGGAGGGAGAGAGAGAGAGAGAGCGAGAGAGAGAAAGCGGATAGCTAGAAACAGATAGAGTGTGCACAAGAGGCAGGAGGCGCTCCCTCTAATCCCGGCTGCGACGCCAAACAGCATTGCACCGGCTGCTACAATAGTCTTAATGGAGGCTCAGGCAGACTCTGGTGCTGCAGGTAAGAGGAAACATTTCTTCAGCCGGCACGCTGCAACATTTAAATGCATACTCCCATTGAATTCAATAGCCCGCTGTAAGAGCTGCCACCATGTCTTTTTTTCTTGAATGCACAGACAAAGCAGGCAGTCAGAGGAAGCCGGTTGTGCTCAGTGGCTGGCAGCTTGCATTTGTGCACATGGGAAAAGGCACAGCAACTTGAATAAATTTAGGGTGGTGGCTTATGAATAATAGCAGAATTGTCGAACGATTACTAGAACTGCAATGTGAATAAACGACAAAGGTCATGAGCGAGAGGGATTATTGGATGCAACCCTTTTTGAGAATTTGACATTGAGTTGCATCTTTGCAGTGGTTGCTTTGGGACAATGGGAGTTGGGTACCACTGGGTGCTGCTAAAAATATAGTTCATCTCGGCACGTATGGTTTAGATTGAGAGCCTTTTGGAATACGCAAATATATCCCAATCCATGCAACAATATTTGCATGACTGGCATGCACAAAAAGAGAACAAGCCAGCAGAATCTGCTGTGTGTGGGCTAATGAGAGGTGTGAGGCAGGGAGGGATGACCCACAGACTGCAGAGAACGGCCGCAGCTGGAAATGTCTGTATCATCACATCATGGATTCTTGAGATGTGGGACAAAACATGCTACAGAAGTGAAAAATAAGTTTATGTACCGAGAAATCAGATGAATCTGGATGAATCTGTTAAATGTGTTCTGAGGTATTCGCCTACACTCTAAAAAATGATGGGTTAAATATACCCAGTGCTGGGTAAAATAGGGACAAACCCAGCAATTGGGTTATAGATTTCCTATCTTGCTTTTATGTTTTTGTGAGTCCAAAGTCAACGCAGCCCCAACTGCTACTACAAGAAAAGGGCCTCGCCAAACCACACAAAGCACAGACAATATACCAGAAATATATATACATAATAAATATTTTTATCTACATCTATATAAAATAAAATAAATATGATCAAATAAATAAAAAATATAAAATAATTTAATATTATGCAACATTATATAATACTGTAAAATAATCTTTTCTTTTTTTTTAAATAATGAAAATAAAATTGCAGGACATGTTTTGCTGCATGTCTCAAAAATTAGTGGGATATGCATTCCAAAAATACATAGGTAGATCCAACTGTCCACTTGTTTTCTTGTCCCATGTGTGTAATTTAACTGCCTTCAATGATATAAAACGCTTGTCAGCTTTGACTACTGCCGCAAGAAATCAATAGAGGGCTGAAAGCTCGTTAAACACTCAGGGAAACACAAGCATCTTCTGTTTCACTTCTTTGGCAACCGCTGGCAAACCCCATTAGAGAACGAGACATGGAAAGCAAGAGATCGGCTGTAGACGTAGAGCTAAACTGTGATTGTGAACACCAGAGTAACCGCAATGCTCAAGCTATCAAAAAAATAGTACACCCTAGCAAGTAATGCGCTAACAACCACCCGGAACACCATAATAAATCTGTAGCAACATGCTAACAAACACTGAGAACACCCTAACAATCGCATAGCAGTGCACTGACAACAACTCAGAACATCTTAGCAACCAATTAGCAATGTGCTATTAACCATCCAGAACACCCTAGCAACAGCCTACTGTAGCAAAGCACTAATGACCTCTTAGAACACCTTAGCAACTACATATCAATTTTCTGGCTACCACCCAAAATACCATAGCAACCATATAGTAATGCAGTAACAATCACCCTGAACAGCCTAGCAACACCATAACAACATGCTAGTAAACACATAGCAATGTGCTAACAAGTAACAACCATACAGAACACCCCCCTGTTGAAAAAAACAGCATATGCTGGTTAGGTATGTTTTGACTCTGGAATGCTGGTTTAAGTACAGCAAGTGCCTACTGTAGTAGTGCACTAACGACCACTTAGAATACCTTAGCAACCACATCATGTGTTAACAACCATCTAGAAAACCCTACAACATACTAGCAACCAAATAGCAATGTGCTAACAACCATCTAGAGCACCCAAGCAAATGTCTTCTGCAGCAATGCACTAACAACCACTTAACATCTTATCAGCTACATAAATACATTCCCTGAATACCACCTAGAACACCCTAGCACCATATATCAGCAAGCTAACAACTACTTCGTTATTGTGACAGCAAGTTCTGAATGGGCAAGCAATACTCACATATTGTTCAGAAAAGACATTATGTATTTCATTCTTTGTTATATATTTAACAGCAGATAGTCAATATACAACAAGGGTTTACAATATTTATGCTCTATAAAATGTCTCTCTCTTTTTTTTGTAGAGCCACTTAGAGACAGAGAGTTCCAGAAGCTTCTGAAGTCCTCCAGCTCTGCCAGTCTCACCAGTGAGGCATCCCACAATGCCTCAGGAGAGCGTGTTGGGACCCCAGCACATCATGGCAGCCAGGTGCTGATCAATGAGAAACGACGTGAGTGAAACAGTGACCTGTCAAGAGCACATGCAGGCCATATTTCATCACAGTCAAAACAAAATTAAAAATATGAAATGACATCCTGTGCAACAAAAGGATTTTTTTTTTTACATTTTATTTTGTTTTGCGTTTTCACTACAATTAATAAATTGTCCTTAACATTAACAGTGACCTACATTAATACATTATTTTTTTCTTTTGATTTTGAGGAGAAATATAAGCTAAACATGTTTGCATTAGATTCTGTTAGTTATGCAAGCCCGTTTCCACCACTGAATAAAAACAAAAAAATTGAGACAAAAAATTGTGGTAATTGTGACTTTTTTCTCACAACTGTGAGTTTGCATCTTGCAATTCTGCCTTTTTTCTCAGAATTGCGTGGTAAAAACTCACAATTCTGATTGTTTCCCCTCACAATTGTGAGATATAAACTCTGAATTCTGCAATTCTGACTCCTTTTCTCAGAATTGGGAGATATAAACTTGCAATTGCAAGAAAAAAGTCAGAATTGTGACATAAAAAGTCGCAATTACCTTTTTTATTTTTTATTCAGAGGTGGAAATGGGCTTCCATACTTAATAGTACACCCCTTAGTACACAACATGTCTGAGCATGTCTGAACAATGAAGTCAATTTAAGAATATCACTGAACTACTCTTAACCAGTCCTCTGGTCACAGTAATGCAGGTACATTCTGATATCTTCTGCCTGATCTCAGAGCCTCTCAGCAGTGTGTCCTCTCTGGAGGTACACTTTGACCTCCTGGACCTGACGGAGCTCACAGACATGTCTGACCAGGAGCTGGGGGAGGTGTTCGCTGATTCAGATGAGGAGAATCAAACAGAATCCCCAGCAAGTGAGTCAGCTCTCAGAATTTGTACAGTTTTTACCATATCAGGAGGCTTAAAATGAAATCAATCCATTCTTCAAACATATTCTTCAGAATCTGTTTTAAAAATTAAAGTGAGAGAAACTGAGTGCTGCAGGGATGATGACATATTTTTGTAGGCCAACCCGGATGTTAGTATCCCCCTGGTTCCCTTGACAAGAAATCAATAGGATTTTCCCAATGGTTTTTGGATAATTGCAGAAAATAAGCTCTGTGGCTAACAAATATTAATAAGCCTAAATACAACCGCTAGAATTAAAAAGCTAAAGTTAGGCTATAAACAAACTATGGCACGGCTGCATTTCCTAAACGCCATGCGTCATTTCCAACAACTTACAGTCTTTATTTAATATCTTGAAGATATAATAGTTCACAAAAGCATGAGTATAAACACAACAAGGCTGTAAAAGTACAGAGTAGATGAGTTTTCCTATTCGGTGTGATTATGTTTAATGTCCCTGACAACCTCTGGAGTCCTATTAGCAACTTGTTAATAACCAAGAGAAGTAAAAGCTTTAAAAAAAATCACGAGTCGGGTATTACTTTTATATTTTAATAAAAGAATAAAATGTGAAAATATCTTAAGTTTGTGTTAACCGCAGACTTTATTTCAGGCATTTAACCAAAAACACATTCAAAATTAATTTAACTAATAAGTTAACTAATTTCTGTGTTTTAGGACCCATTCCTGCAGCACTCCATTGTTTATGACTGAATGATCACTGTGAAGCAAGGCAAATAAAATGGATGGATAACATTTTGAGAAGAGTATGTTGGATACTTGGCTGCAGGCACAGTTAAAGGGTTAGTTCACCCAAAAATGAAAATTAGTCCATAAATTACTCACCCTCAAGTCATCCTAGGTGTATATGACTTTCTTCTTTCAGACGAATCCAGTCGGAGTTATATTAAAAATTGTCTTCGATCTTTCAAGCTGTTTAATGGCACTCAGCGGGTGTTGCATGCATCAGTCCAAAAGAAGTTAAATAAAAAGCGCCCATCCATTAAAAAAAGTCTCACACGGCTCCCGGGGGTGAACAAAGGCTTCCTGTAGCAAATCGATGTGTTTTTGTAAGAAAAATATCCATATTCAAATGTAATAATCACTTTAATGTAGCTTGCGCTCACTGTTGTACACAGAAGCAGCTCCGGGCGGATGACGTATGAGTTCAGCGCTGCGCATGCGCCGGTGAGTCTCGTGAAAACCAACGTTTGTTAACAGGAGCAAAGGAAGCAAAGTTTCCTTACTTTAGCAAAGGAAATTCTTCTTTACAAATCCTCGTTTTGTACTTCTAATTAGTGACCGTTGTTTTGTTTTGATCTCTCCCCTGCGCTTCCGCGTTCGTTACTTCTGAGCGGCGCATGCGCAAAGCCGACCTCATACGTCATCCGCCCGGAGCTACTTCCAGTGTACAACAGTGAGCGCAAGCTACATTAAAGTGATTATTACATTTTAAATATGGTTATTTTTGTAACAAAAACGCATCGATTCGCTACAGGAGCTGTGTGAGACACTTTTTATTAAGGATGGGCACTCTTCTTTTCCAAACTTCTTTTAGACTGATGCACTGCAACACCCGCTGATTGCCATTAAACAGCTTGAAAGATCAAAGACAATTTTTTATATAACTCCGACTGGATTCATCTGAAAGAAGAAAATCATATACACCTAGGATGACTTAATTTTATTTTATTTAAATTGTGCACTTAATTTTAGTTTAATTTATGGGCTAATTTTCATTTTTGGGTGAACTAACCCTTTAAGTGATTCCATGTAAGTCTACAGTGAGCACATTATTATTTGATTAAGCTCTGAGCTGAAGTGCACAAATGTGAACATATTAAATATTTAAACTATGAGGCAATGTCAGAGGCATTCTGAACAATCCAGATTAGCATTACCTCGAACCTGCTGCTTAAATGTTACACTCCCTGGTCTCCAAGTTATGTGAATAACATTTTGTCTAGACCCCAAATTTGTTAGTGAAGACAGAGTGCCATTTTTACTTCTGCTTGTTAGTATAGGCATTCCTACCGAACTGTTGTATCCTTATACATTATTAGTCACCTCAGTGTATCGCTATGCACAAAACTAAACTTTAACTAAACACCTACAATGTCTGTCCCTAATGTGGCCTCAGATTGCAGAGTCTCATCGAAAATGAATGACATCCGGATGCTTTTTTTTTACTCCAAATTCCTGTCAGTGTGAGCATCCCTAAAGACAGCATGTTGAGGAGTCAAACAGACATGACTCATATGATCTCTGTTCCAAAATCTAATGAGCTGCTTTGCTGTCTACTGCCTACATTGGTAGCAGCTCTCTGAAGCAACATCCTAACTGTCATGGAACCTCGTCAGTGACTGGTTTAAATAGCTCTTCATGGGCAGCAGCTCAGTGACTGATCACTCACACCCAGAGGCGGAGCTAGGAGTGTACAGGTGTGGCCATGGCCACCATAGACCGAAGCGTGGCCATCCCTTTGGCCACGCTGCTCAAACCCCCCTGGTTCCCAGGGATCAAAATCCTGCAGAGTTCAGCTCCAACTTTCCACAAACATACCTGGCTAAAAGTTTCTAGTGATCCTGAAAATTATGTGAATAGCTGGTTCAGGTTTGTGTAATAGGGGTTGGAAATAAACTCTGTAGGATGGTGGCCATCCAGGAGCAGGCTGACACCCCTGCCTAAAACCACCCTTTCATGATGCTACCTACTAATGTAGGGGAAGCCAACCCTGCTCCTGGTGGGCTACCCTCCTGCAGACTTCATTTCCAACCCTGCTCCAATACACCTGCCTGGATTTTAAGAATCCTGAACTCCTTGTGTATTTGATCGGGGTTGGAACTAAATTCTGCAGGAAGCTACTCTTCAGAAGCAGTGTTGGCTACCCCTATACCAGGGATCTCCAACCCTGCTTATGGAGAGCTACCGTCCTGCAGACTTCAGTTTCAACCCTGCTTCAACACACCTGCCTATAATTACCAAATTACCCTGAACACCTTGATTAGCTGGTTCAGGTGTGTTTGACTGGGGTTGGAGCTGATATCTGCAGGTCGGTAGCTCCAGGAGCAGGGTTGGAGACCCCTGTCCTATCCTAATGCTATTCATATGGAGATAAAAGACACTTTTGTCAAAAGCAGCTTACCTGTTGGAACAGCATTCATGAGTGGACCTATGGTACCTTAAAATGCCAATTGTAGTAGGCAACTGACTAGGTTTTGGAACAGAACTATGGCCTCCAAATTATTCAAAAATGGTTAGCCAGTGGTCATGAAGGTGTTTTTCATTAGTTGGTTTTGTAAGTTCACCCCGCAGATCGACAGCAGCCACCATTACCTAGATTTCCACACAGTGGTTACGTCCGCTCACCCTCCTGGACCCGTGGTGGAAAAGGGGAACAGCAGCCAAGAGATCGAAAGCACCACAGTGACTCCGAAAACACAGAGCCAATGCTGAAGATAGAGCGCTCCCAATCCCAGCAGCCTTGAGTCAGGGGCAGCTACAGGGGCTTAGGAAGAAAAAAAGCCCTTGTGCTGAATGTGGAGCTTCCTTCTCAAGCAAGAAGATGAGGAACTCTTGGGATAAAAGGACATGGTCATCCCACTTAAAGATAATGCAATCCCTTTGTCCATTATAGACAAGAAGAGAGCTCCAATAAGCTGCAGTAGGTGTAGACTCTTCCTCAAGATGGAACAGACTTCATCCAACTAGGATTTTGGGACTCCTCTTTGGGACCGAGTTACTTTCAGTCTTCTCCACGTGACTACTGCATATGGAGAACTTGCAGCATGATGTAGCATTATGGACAACACTGGTTCAAGCAATGTGAATCTAAAGAGCAACTGAGGAATTCCACAGTGATTTGAATCTTCAAGGAACTGTTTAAGGAACAGTGGAATGTGTCGAAGCAGCAACTGTGATAAGACATTTCCAGAGAATCTACAGCATAGTTCAAGACATGGCAATGTAAAGAGAGAAGTTACAATAATTCCCCAAAAAGTGTCCTTTGAGGAGATTCTGCATGAAAATAGGGAGACCCAGAAACAAAGTGAAATATCTTGTAAAAAAATTCATGCCTAAGGCCTGAAACATACCCTACACAAGTACATGAACGCAGACACTTTGAGAATTTGTCAGAACGGAATTCATATTGCAGCATATTGCACTGCGTTCTCATCATTGCAGACAAGAGGGTGTTTCTGCTAGTATTAGTTTAAGCCAGTGAAGTCCAGTCCTGTTATGAAAGGCCACCTTCCTGTGGACTTTATCTTCAACCTGTCCTAACACATTGGATAGGACTGGATAACCCTGCATAAGCACTCTTCTATGGTCAGTTTTATCCCGTAAGGCAGTGTTTCCCAACCCTGTTCCCGGAGGCACACCAACAGCACACATTTTCAAACTATTCCCAAATGCAATACACCTGATTAAATTTATCAGCTCATTAGTAGACACTGCTAGACCTGAACGGATAGGTCAGATAAGGGATACATCCAAAAAGTGATGGTGTTGGTAATGTTGGTGTGCTTCCACACTTGGTGTGTTAGGAAATACTGCTGTCATGTTGGAACATCAGTTTAAAGAGTATAATGCTGAATGTGTTATTTTAATTTTGACCAACTTTTTGATGGTAGTGATCACCCCCTTGAGTACTGAGGTTTATTACAGCCACAGTAACACAAGAACGCACATTAAATATGTACAGCAGGACCACCCAAGCATTCTGACTTGTGTAGAATATGTTTCTGGCCTAACTTACTGAGTACAGCACTTGAATGGATAAAAGGGATAATAATCTTTTAGCAATATGTTTTTTAACCTCTCTGTATCATTAAATGTCATTAATAATTTCACATCAAGATAACATTCAAATCACAGTCCTCAGTTGTGATCACCGGTGCACAGCAGGAAAATATGCCCGATCCACATATAATCCTAAAAGAGAAAAAAAGCTATTGGGTGTCAAGTCCAAATGCAAATTCCTAAGAGTAAAATTTTTTACAAATTTCTGAACTCCTATCAAAAAGTTGTACTGTATATGTCACCAGGGTTATTACAGGGTTCAATGATGTCAAGCATGATCTATACACAAGGTCACATCGGAGAAGAAATTTACAAACTACCAGAATCATTAACAAGTCTGCCAAATCAAGGAGGACAAAAAACTAACAGGAATAAATGTGAAATGTCAAAGATCAGATTGTTTTTCTTCTTTTTCTTTCTCCAATCCATTTTACTATATTTATTACTATAGAAAGCAGGTCTTGTGACACAACACCCTCTCAATTAGCTCTAAATGGAGACAACGTGGTACAGTTTAATTTAATAGATTATATGGACAGCATTGGTCATGCTGACACCAAAGCATAATACAGAAGCAGCACGTGATGCGCAGCTTAAGAGGCTCGCCTTTCAGACTAAAGAACAGTCCAACAAAAGGTGCTTTCGTCTGAGGAAAAGCCTTTTAGAAAGAATATCCACAAACATAAACTAGGCATTTATACTCTTTCATAATTTGTTAACAACCAAAAATAATAGCAAGATTTTGTAGCTCAATGTATTACCATCATATTTGTAGATAGCACTGATTCTGGATGCTACTTGGCAACATCTCACCCATCTAAAATGGGAGCGTCCCTGATGAACAGAATGCTTGGAAGAGGAAGTATGATAAATCATCTAGCTATGCCCTACTTCTGCTGATGGCAGTGTAGACTGTATGGTGCATAGAGATACAATATAACAACATTTTAAGTGCTAGTAAAGGTTTTTGCCCTTTCTGCAGATTAGACACTGTAAATATAACAATGGAGAAGTGGTGAATTCATAAATATGTATACGAAGAGTTTCAAGCTGCAAAAATGATCCAATTAATTCCTAGGGTCAGATAAAAGGTGGAAATTGGTCATAAAAGAATAAATTATGACAGACTGTTTTTTGTGCAAGAAACCTTCACTTACATTATAAGTAGACCATGAGAAATACAATGTATGAAACAACACCTTTAATTTAAATAATCACAATTTCACTTTCAAAACTTTTTTTTTCTTAGAACACACAAATGAAAGTTGTACAAATATACATTTCTTACACTTCTATTAAGAGGAAAAGAGAATAAAAATGATAGAATTTAGTTTATGATATAATGGCAGAAATAGAAGGATAAAAAATAACAAATAAGATCATTCTAAGTTGTTGAACTGGCACAGGGGTAGGCAAGTTCGGTCCTAGAGAGCCGCAGTCCTGCAGAGTTCAGCTCCAACCCTAATCAAACACACCTGAACAAGCTAATCAATGTCTGCAGGATTACTAAGGCTATAGGCAGGTGAGTTTTTTTTTCAGGGTTGGAGCTGAACTCTGCAGGACTGCGGCTCTCTAGGAGCGAACTTGCCTACCCCTGACTTGGCATAAAGAGTTCATGGTGTTGGGTGTTTAAGTTTATCAAGTATAGTTTATGCCGACATAATACACAGATTAAGGCATTTCAAATTCAGTAAAAATCCCCTGCTTTGAATTAACAATGAAACTGAAATGCAAATAGCAACAAAATTCACAATCTTCATCTTTTAAGCCAAGAAGACTCTGCTTTCCCACTGGATTTCCACAGTAAGGCAAGTGTCAGAGGCAGGTGGAAATTATTTGTTTCATGCAGCCTGTTTTTCCTGTGAAGCTGGAGGTTCTTCCTGGGTTTCTCCTCTCTCTTTGTTCCAGTCCTTCAACCCTTCTGGAAGACTTGTATCTTCCTCAAAGCTTCCAGTGCCCTCCACAAACTCCTCATATGTGGACTTCTCCTCAAATGGCCTGGGCCCCAGCAACTCTATCATATCAGCTTTGTCTAGAACTTCTTTTTCCAGCAAACGCTTACCAACCTATTCACAAAAACAAATGCATATTTGCATCAACCACCTGACAGAGATGGTCACTTTACAGCTTTTCACGCTTGAAATATTTAACCCTGGGTCATTCTAAATCCTGGAAAAACAGAATCCTGGGTGATTTTGGTTCATGTTGTACACCGCTCATAATTTTCCTGGGGTTAACAATTCATTATTTGTATTGATAAGCTGACATTTCACACTGTGCATTCAAGTTTTTCCTGAATGGACTTTTCAAACTATATACATTAGAATTAAACTCTCCAATGAAACTCTCCAATTTCATCACCATTTGACAATTTTCCCCTCAAGCCCCTGAATAGACTGGATGCTGTGTTCCTGTCACTTTGCAAAGCATGTGAATACGAGGAACCCAACTAGATGTCTGTTGCTAAGCATCTAGTAGTTACATTGTAACACCGCATCGTTTCACATGGTACAAGTTTGCCACTGCAATGCAGGGTTAATACTGCAAAAGCATTGCCAGCCTTAACCCCGGGTAAAAAGCGGTGCTAGCCTCACTTCACAATTACAAGCATGAAATGTTCTTTTATCAAGGGTTTAAAGCAGGCTTTAGAACGACGATAACCCAGGGTTAAGTGCAGTATGTAAAGCCCTTTTGAAAGCGTAATTTCACTCAAATCAGAGCTATAAATCTCATAGTATGAACTAAAAACTTTGATTTAAGGTAGAGCTGAGTGACCTCAACATGACTGTTGAAGATTATAGTGCTAATTTGCCTTATTTAAAGAAAGGAAGCAAGTAGATGTGAAAAATAATGGGACCAAGGACTGAACCCTGAGGCGCTCCCGCAGGTCACTAGTTCTGACATCTCTGGCATTACTTTGAGAGCTGTTGTAATGGCAACTAGATTTCACACTATTTAAAGCAAAAAATCCAAGCACACCATGAGGCACCACTGTTTTCCAGGATAAAATAACATCAGGCTGTTGGTTGTTCTCACCATCTCCACCTGCTCTCGTTTCTCAATGATGAGTTCCAGTGTTCTCTGAAAGGCCCGGTCGACCAGATCTCTGACCTCCTCATCAATGAGTTCTGCCGTAGCCTCACTGTAGGGCTTCTCCAGAACCATCTCACCCTGCCGGGGCAAGTCAAATGACACCTGCCCCACTTTCTCGCTCATGCCAAACTGAACAATCTACAACAGAAAAGTAGGGGAAGAAAACTGTCAAATAAAGTTGATATATGCCAAAGATTTGGCTTGTAATAAAAAAGTTATAGGTTGAAAGTCTCAAGAAGCAATTAATGGGCTATCACAACTGTGTTGATTAATCATTGCATTAACTGCCAGAACAGTCGCAGAATCATTTTAACAGCCATTAGATTGTTAGCAGATTAACAAAATAATTATTAGTTTCAGCTCTACTCCAAATGGATTGTACCTGTACGTACATTTGGATAAAAGCTTCTGCTAAATGAATAAAAAATACAATGTTGCCATGTTGCTACAGCAAATGCTGTGGCACACCGAACCACTGAATTTATGATCCAAAGCAAGCACAATATCTCTACCTGAGCATATGCTGACTGTGTGACCTTCTTAAGGTCGTCATGAGCCCCAGTTGTGATCCTGTCAAAAAACACCCGCTCGGCCACACGCCCACCAAGCATCATACACATCCTGTCGAATAGCTGCTCCCGTGTATATAAATACTGCTCTTTTGGAAGGTACTGTGCATAGCCCAGGCCTTTCCCTCTTGGAATTATGGAAACCTGGAATGTGTGAACGAATCCAATAAATTTCAATAAAACAATTTAAAGATGATTGACTCAATTTAAATTGAACTATATAGCTACAATGCTACTCCTGGTGCTGTAACATGAAGTTCATAGTTTTATACATAGTCAGTTTTGCCCCTTGATCATTGTTAACTTTTTTAAGCAAAGCTAATGACAAAGCAATGAACATTTTTTCATTTGAAGCTAAAATACATGTTATTTATTTCATTTGGTGACTTAAGTCATTGGGATTTAAAATATATTTTGGGAAATTACATCACCTTGAGCAATGGGTCAGCATGTTGGAGAAACCAGCCCACTACAGCATGTCCTGCTTCATGATAGGCTACAGTCTTTTTCTCAGTGGGTTGCAAAACCTGAGTCTTCTTCTCCAGACCTGTAACATTAGAACAAAAAATATGACATTACTAAGAAATGTATTTTAATTTTAAATTTAGGATAGTTAAAGCTGTATAAGCCAACTCAAGCAATCATATATGGAAATCTTCAGCACCACTAAAAAGGAATGAATTAAGAAAATCTATATCCCTACTTTGCGTTATCTAATGGAACGAAGCATGTAGATAAGAAAAAGAATGGGACCCAGGACTGAATCCTGAGGTACACCACAGGTCACTGCTATCGTCACTAATATGACTTACAGATCTGAACATGTACATCATACTTAGTAGGATGTTTGCAGGATATGCTGCAATTCTAAGCTCTTCCGTTTACCTCCGATGACTCTGTCGATGGCTTGCTCAAAGTGCTTAACATTGATGAATTCATTCAGATATCTAGCAGCAATGAGAGCTGCTTCATTACAGACATTTGCAATATCAGCACCTGGAGGAGAGAAATATTAGGGTCTTTATATAGCAATAACACAGCAATATTATGGCTACACTTATGATTACTTAATTACCATAACAACTACATCAGCCTACGCTCAAACATGAATTTCAAATACATAATTATCATACAACATATAATTTTTCTGCTATGGCTTGCACATTTATTCTGTTCAATAGGAAAATGAGTGTCTAACTAAGTCAATGCTCACTCACCAGTGAACCCAGGTGTAGCAGCTGCCATTTTCCTCGCAATGGCATTACGGTCCAGACTCGGGTCCAGTTTGAGTGGCTGCAGATGCACTTTGAATATGGATGCTCGACCCTTAATATCAGGAGGTCCTGAAGGATTGACAAAGTACAAACCTTAGATATTGGAAAATATTTGTTCTAAGCCCACTACACATGAATACTGTTAGTGGTCAACTCAGTTTTAAAGACAGTAAATAACACTTGCTGCAATTCATTTACATAATATATTTACTGAATTAGAAAAAAAAAAAAAAAAGTAAACAAAAAATAACTTAAAAAAAAAAAACAGACTTTAGATAGATAGACTTTTAGACTTTAGATCCTTTAGATAGCAACATCTCGATTCTGAAATCCTAATATAGTATTTATTAATTTTTTTAACAACAACAAAAAACACAGTAACCGACAGTGCACTCTGGAAAGCATGTTCTCTTAATAAAGACCAGGTGA